TTGTGGAAACTATGTAAAATTTACATTTCTAAAGGATCCAAATTCTCTATAAGTAACATTTACCAGCCAGGGTTTTGCCTTCTGCAGATGTTTAATGAAGTTTAACAAGATGGAGACTTGACTACAGAAGAGTTCAAGGATAGCAGCTGTGGTGATTCTGGAAAAGTTGCCTAGGCACAGAGTTTAACTTAAGGTCTCCTGGGTCAAGTTCTTGTTGATTTTGTGGTAGATGTTTCAACGAGAAAAGTTCATGCAAGAGCCACTGTTTTCATTGGCTGTCCACAAGAAAAAGAGCTCTTTTGTGCTTTATGGTAAGCACAAGAACAAAAAACTAAAGTCAAGTAGATGACATCCACAACTGTGGATGTCGTCTACCTTGACTTTAGTAAGGTATTTAACACTGTTGCCAACAGCATTCTTCTCCTAGAGAAATTGACTGCTCTTGGCTTGGATGAGCATGTACTTTGCTGGGTAAAAAACTGGTTAGATAGCCAAGTCCAAAAAGTTGTGGTCAACAGAGTTGGCAGCCAGTCATGAGTGATGTCCCCCAAGGCTTTGTACTGAGCCCAATCCTGTTTAACGTTTTCATCAATGATCTGGATGAAGCGATAGAGTGCACCCTTAGTAAGTTTAAGTCACATGAAAGTGTCCATCTGCTTGAGTGTAGGGAGATTCTATAGAGGGATCTAGACAGGCTGGATCACTGGGCCAAGGCAAATCCCGCGAGTTCCAATAAGACCAAGTGCCGGGTCCTGCACTTCGGCCACAACAACCCCCAGCAGCACTACAGGCTTGGGGAGGAGTGTCTGGAGAGCTGCCAGCAGAAAAGGACCTGGAGGTGCTGGTGGACAGCCACCTGAACATGAGCCAGCAGTGTGCCCAGGTGGCCAAGAATGCCAATGGCATCCTCACTACAAGAGAGACACTGAGGTGCTGGAGAGGGTACAGAGGCAGGCTTCCAAGCTGGTAAAGGATTTGGAGCATGTGTTGTATGAGGAACAGCTGAGGGAACTGTTTAGCCTGGAGTCGAGAAGACTGAGGGGAGACCTTATTGCTCTTTACAACTACCAGAAAGGAGGTTGTAGTGAGGTGAGGGTTGATCTATTCTCCCTAGCGGTGAGTGATATGACAAGAGCAGATAGCCTTAAGCTGCACTAGGGGAGATTCAGGGTGGATATTAGGAAAAATTTCCCGGGTCCTGCCCTTTGGCCACAACCACCCCCAGCAGCGCTACAGGTGGTTGAGTCACCGTCCCTGGAGGTGTTTAAGAGATGGGTAGATGTTGCTTTGAAGGACATGGTTTAGTGGTGTTGATAGGGCTAGGAAAAGGTGGGACTCAATGATCCTGAAGGTCTCTTCCAGCTGAAAATATTCTATGATTCAATGATTCTAAGAAAGTGGCTAAGGTCGTTGGTCTAACAAGGTTGAATTTGAAAGAAGCGATCAAAATCAAATGAGAGTAGTAAGGTCAAAGATAAGCAAATCGAGTAAAGGGTCAACTTCTGCCATGCCCTTGGTTTAAGCCTGGATTTTGCTGAAGTATGGTAAGCGCCTGAAGATCTTGGGAAGAGAGTATTTGGTCAGAGAAAGTAAATACCATGTTCCCACAAGTTTCAGCTTGAATAATTAAATACTGCTATGCGTTTTAAGTACTGAAAACAAAAATTAACTGAACAAAACAGGTAACCTTTTTTATTTATTTTCTTAGCCCAAACTAAGTTACCTTGTGGTTTGCAGCAAGCCTTGAGGAATGTGCTATCCTTGGGCTGACCACAAGAAAAATTGTGGCACAGCCTGGGCTACATAGGAAGATACCAAGTGCTGGATAGCAAAAAAGCAAAAGGTACTGACCAAGTCAAGCACAGGGCAGCTTGCCCTAGTTGTGTTGTATCTTGCAGTGTAAATAAGTTGGTGAGAGGAAATAAACCTCTTGCAAACCTGGCGCTCCTCCACAGCTTTGACAGCAGAATCATAATCTTCCATGTGTGTTGTAAATCTCTCTCTCCTTTACTGTAAATGGGAGCAAATTAAATCAGTTGCATCTAAGAAATAAAAAACCCCAGCTATTATAATATAGCACTAGTGAGTAAAAAGGAGATTTTATGAAAGTTTATCATAACTTTTATTGTGAAATCAAATACCACTTGTGTACATTGAAATACAATTTATATGTATAATTAGTACCATTCAGTGAGCCTAGAAATGGTTGGAGATTCTAAGTATCTCACCACGTGCTGATTATCTCAGCTACATGATATTATTTTCCTCTTTATACTTCCCTGCAGTCCTTAATCTCTCTTTTCTGGCAATCAGCTGCCTCTTGTTGTTCCTCTGGCTCTCAGCAGGGCTCCTCTCTGTCCTCTAGTGTCTTATGAGATGTGAGGGCTTATGCTGTACCTCGGTATCCTGTTACCTCTCTCAGATTTCCTGCATAAAACTTCTGGAGGCTTCTCTGATGATTTTGGATGTTTATGTGAAATGTATGGATCGGTGGTGTTTCCCAAACGAAATCTCTGGGAACAAAAATGATAATGTCAAATACCTCTCTAGCACTCTGCCCCAGCTTTATTAGAATCTGAGGCTAAGTATTGAAGCTTAATTTTGCTTTGCAGTGTCAAAGAGAATTTGGAAGAAAAGGGATTCTTATTTAATCAACTTGGAGGCTATCTAGAACACTTCTTCATTTAAAGCCACAAACACAAGTCATCCAGTTCACAGTAAGGCCATATAACCGTATATCTAGAAAGCTGCATCTTCAGAAAGTGCACAAATGGATTTCTGTATCAGCAAATAAATGAGAAAAATCTGTAGTGTGATTAGGAAAGAAACTCTAAATTTTTTCATGAGACCAAAATAAAATTAAATACAAAATAGACCAACTGTTCTACACATTCATGAATTTTCTCAATTCTCAAAAAACTATTAATCTCATTCTCATGAGATCATCAGTTTCCCCAAAAATCAAACTCCATTTGGAGCTAGAGTTCTGGTTAGTGTGAGGCCTAACAGTTACACTGGATCAAAGAATGAACAATTTCTTGTTACCACGTGCTGATTCATTCATACAGCTGAGCTTCCCAGAAGTTTTTAGGGCTGCAGTGGTGAAAGGTGCAGTGCTGAAATTTCTTTAGAAATTTAGACTAAATTTCTCTGAACTTCAGCAGCAGTGAAAGAGCATCAGTTAAGACCAGGTCATATTTTAGTGTTGAAAACTGCATCATAAAAGTCTTTTTGGTTCTACTGGTATAAGTCACATTTTAGGTAGCAGAGCTGTTGAAAAAAAAGAAGAGCTGTTACTGTCTATTTCCTTTCCTATATGGTGGTGTTCTTTCTGGTCTATACAGTAGTATTTTTGGACTGTGGACTTTTTCAGAATCATGTTACTGAGTAAAATGAGTGCCTCTAGCACATGGTTTGATCATCCCAAAAAGTCTTACAGAGCATGCTGTAGTATTTCAGAGCTTGATATATTCTGATCTCAGCCATCAGTGTTATTTTGGGGTTATGTTACTGTGACATTTCTAGGTGCGATTGGTGTTCTTTTATGCTGATGATTGCACAGATACATGAGGTATTTCATTTTCAGATCAAGTTGAAGAGAATGTTAAAATTTAGCATTTTTTTCAAACTTTTCTATAAAATTTTACCATTTTCCTTGTTCCTTTTTTTTTCCTTTTCTTCTTTTTAACCAATCTGAATTTCTTTTCAACAGGAATTAGTTTAATGACCAATTTCATATCTGACACTGAAGAGCTGTCAGGTGATGCAGAATTTCTGAAGTGATCTGTTCTGCACTCACCACAATAGAGGCCATGACTGTCTACCATTACAGCTTCCATGAATAACTGATTATTCTAAGCAAATGCTCTGATTCTTTATTTATCAAATAACCCTTTACTAATAGACTAGAAAAAAGTGAATCATGGGATATGAGCATAGAAAAAAGTTGGATTTTTTTCATGATGCATATTTATTTACTTTTTAAATATATTTTATCAATACAAATTAAGCTGTGTGAATACCGGTTATCATGAGAGTTAGACAATTGTATTCACATCATCAAAATTTGTGAATTTTTAAAAATACAATTTAAGGGCAAAAAACTATCAATGTCTTTATCAAGTTGCTGTAAAGATGTCACTAGATTTTGAAAATGGCTGTCAAATGCTTTCTGTGAGAAAGGAATATAAGTAGTTTTGACCAGTGAATTTGGGGAAGTTGATTTCAATCCTCCATGTAATAGATTCTTGAGTAGCTTTTGTGAGATTCTCTACCAGAATTGTATGATTTTTAATGAGACTCTGATTTGCAGACACTGCCAGACCGGCATTCTGGTAGAGACTAGTTCATAATAATGTTTGTCACGTAAGTTGAAATTCATCCTTGAAAGTAGGATTTGTTCTAAATATTTTGTTCCAAATGGCTGTGAAAATAATCTTTGGAAGATTTGGATTTTTCTTGGCTGGTGTAGAAGTTGTTTTATGGAAAAGATTAGTTTAATGGTTCCCAGAATTTTTTATTTTTTTATTTTTTTATTTTCATAGTATTGAGCTCTAGTGTTATTCTGGAATTATTTGTATATACTATTCCTTCACATTTCCATTGATCCTTTTCTTAGTGATTTTATCTAAAATATTCTTGTGTCATATAGTCAGCTAGCTTTTCTGTGATATAAAAAACATAAATTGGTGTTTTGATAGGTAAACTTGTTTACAGCCTTCAGCTTTCCTCAGTAAAGCGAGACTGATGCATATAGAATTGAGCTAAGAATATGTATTTCAAGATAGCTTATGACACTTCTCTTTATTCCTTTCTGTATTACCTCTTTATAAAACTGCATGAAGAAGAAATATTCATTTTCAAAGAAAAATAATAAATAATAGTTTTCTGTAGTGTGGGTTATGGTATGGCATGATGGTAAATCCATTTTGAGACTATAGATAACAGCGTACAGTGGAACAGAAAAAGCTTTTATTTTTCTCTTTCTCCTCTCTTTACAGATGGACCCAATTCAGAAAGCTGTAATAAATCATACATTTGGGGTTCCTCTTCCTCATCGAAGAAAGCAAATCATATCATGCAACATTTGCCAGCTGAGATTTAATTCTGATGTAAGTTGATCACTTTGTATCACGTCAGAAATATGTATCTGTCATCTAGGATGTGCCATAATTTGCGTAAATTGAACCTAAACAAAACGTTGTGATTTCAGTTTGTGGCTCAGCAGATGAAAAGGCTGTAGGATGCTTCAAATGAAAAAAATTATTTGGTAGTGCTTATACACCTGGGCAGATTTTCCCTGCAGATATATCCCTGCAATCTCATCAGCTTCATTTGTGTTGCAGAGAGTCTAAAGAGGAAATGGATTGATCCATTACTGCTAATACGGCTGAAATATTTGCTGGGTCCTAATTCTTTCACCAGTCCTGCTTACGTTTACCTTCCTTTTCAGTCTGTAAATGTTAGGTTATTCAGATATTCTTAGAGCCCTTGTGCATCTACCTTGCTTTTTCTACCCTTACAACAGCATCTCTGCCTAGGCAAAATTGTATTTTAATGTTCCTATCCTGGCAGCACAAGCTTTTAAAGCAGAGGGGAAAAAAAAAATGATTTTTTCGGTTTATTGGCTCCTACTTTATGTCCTCTTACTTATCCAGCAATGAAGTAGAGCAAGCTGAACTAGAGATGGTCTCTCATACACAGAGGAAACCTGTCGCTTATAATTACCCAAGGAAGATGTGTTCTGGTGCTCTTCACCAAGGAATACCTGTTCTCTCACAGAAAAGCCTCTTAGAGTTTAACTCCTTTATTTTCTTCTCCTCAATCATTGTGTGTGCAGACAAAACCTGACACAGTACAATATATTTTCTTCTGCTATTCTAGTGTCTCCAGAAACTTTCTTGACATGGGCATTGCTAGTGTAAACTTAAATTCCTGTACCAGATATCTTTAATTTACTACCCATTTTACCAATTTAAATGTAGAAGGTACTTCTGTCAGAATAAAATGGTTAAATTTACAGTGAGGTGTAACCTAAAAACATCCACGAGGGTCCTTCCTCCTGGTGGTCATATGAAGAAGTGAAATAATTCTTGTGTGCTGCTGCTTCTTTGTAAGCAACTGTTTATGTACACTTTGTATCAATTTTATCATTTATCAAAGCCATGAACTTGTCAGAAACTTAAAATTTAATCTTGAAGATTTCTTTTCAGGATTGGCCACCTAGGGAGAGAATAATACAGATTTCATAATTCCCATCAGCTTTTTATTCCTCAGAAGTAATTATAACAAGACCTCAGTCACAGTTTCCAGACCAAACAGCGCCATGTACTTCCTTTCACTGATGACTCCAGGTTTTCTAGTTCATGCACTGAATGGACACCTTCCTCTTATAACATTAACATCATTCTCAAGCAGTAGTGCAAGGAAGGCTAATACATTCTCTGGAGCTGTCATGTCTCTCACAGATAAAAATAGAAGAGTCTTCCATTTAGAAGCCAGATGCTAGAATTAGGACTGTGGATACCGAGCCGCTCATGGGGAGGGGACAATAGAGACTCCTGGGCCACAGTAGATTGCACTGACTGAGCAGCTCAGCTCATCACTCAAAAATATTAGCTTTGTCCTAGGAAAAATCATGTCACACTGAATCATACATAGCATATATCTTTGAGAGACATCAAATACTTTGTTGTTACATACCAAAGTGAAACACCTTTCAAAGAGGGTGTAACATTTGTTAGTCTGCAAAGAGATCTGGAAGAAAAGAGAGGATGAACACATGATTAAGATAACTTAGTCATTCACAGGTACACAAACTCGGAATGATAGAGTGGAAATTTTTTTCAGCTGGCAGGAGCTATGCATTTTCCAGAACAAAATATTTGAAATGAAAATTCTTCTACACTGAGTCAAACAAGCTATCAGTGACACTGACACTTCTTACTCACAGTACTGGCATGCTCTCATGCTGTTCCTGTTCTGCTGCTCTTAGAAAGGATTCCTAGGAAGAGAGGGGAAAGAAGAGAAGTGGCCATTTCTATAGTCATCTACATGGCCTGAAAAAATGGTTTCAGAAGAAACCTATTTGTTTAGACTGTTCACAGTGAAGTCTTGGAAGAAAATCTGTTAAGCAGATATGTAATAAACCTTCGAATGATAGAGGCTTGCACTCAAATCTGCCAACACAGTTCAGTAGAAGGTTGTTCTAATGCTCCCCTCTCTCAGAGTAGATTGGTACCATTACCTTTGTGGAATGAGGAGACCTTCTTACTGAGTAAATTTTACTTTCCACTTTTAATATTCACCTATTTTTTAAAACAACCCCAGTGCTGCTGACTGATGGGGAGTTTATAATCCAAAATCTGCCCATTGATTAACCTGGGATGATACCTCTCCCCGTTTTCCCTAGCACACAGAAGAGATTTGTGGACTGTTTTATGATGATCTTCTCTCATTTCAGTGCATATATTTATTACTGCTGAAAATCACAAAGTGCTCTGCTGAGGCTTTTCATAAAATAATAAGTGGTCCGAGTTGCACTGTAGTTTAGAAATGCTTTTCTGCAATGTAAGAGGAAGAAGCAGAGCTAAGTTCATCCGTTGCTTGGGTAATTCTAAATGTTCACCAGGTTTAGAAGCAAAAATGTGCTAAATTAAAGATTCAATGTTGAGACTTAAAGGAAATATTGCTTTGAAGAAAAAGAGCTATTAGCTATACTCTACTATATGAAGAGCAAGTACACACAATGTAATATTTTCTTCTATTATTATGAAAAAGTTTTCATTTACTGAATATTCCTAACTTTCATTTTCATCATGTTGTGCTGAACATGATTTAAAACCATAACAACAATAAATAGCTTTTCTGTTCAGAAACTTAGGATTCTCTGGCTTTTCTACCAATATGTCTTTATTTTTAGATGCTGTATGGAGATAGGAATTATCAGAGAATAATGAATAGAAATTCCATTTACCTGCTGCATGATAGTATTATGAAAATGTTTACAATAGAACTGGTGTGTGAGATTTTTCATTTTTGCAGAGAATACAAAATTTTCTCCCCTTTGATACAGATTTCTTTCAGAGGAGAAGAGCTTTTTTTCTGGTTACACGGTATCAAAATTGCATTTCAAAGAAAAATGAGAAAAGGCAGTACAATAGTCTAAAATTGTTTAGCTTCTTTCTAAAGGAGTTATCTATAAATCTTCATGACAACTGTGTGTTCAGTATTTATTTTTAAAATAAATCTTCTCATACAAGGGAAGGGAGGAATGAGCAAGTAACCAAAGCCTCTCCATGCTGAGAAAAAACGGTGGAACACAGAAGTAGGTTCTGTGGAGTTTGTTTCAAGCAGTGATGTGGGGGTTTTTTATTGAGACAGATCTATATATAATGTTTATATTCAGGTTGTGCATCCAATACAGGGCAAAACATTTAAGTATTACTTATGTGCACCCGTGCATGTTGCCATTTAGATTTCAGCAGCTGCTGAGAGATATTGTGCCAGGTCAGAACTGTTAAAGGCATACTTTGTAGTAAACAGTAAATATCTGCTAAGAGCACCCTGTAAAATGAAGCGCAGCTGACTTCAGTAGAACAATTCATGTGCCTACAGGTAGCTGTAGGAGTAAATTCTCTGTTAACACGAGGCATCACTAAAAGACAAACAAAGCAAAATGAAAAAAAACCAAGAAACACCATGGCATGGAAAAAAAAATTACTTTTTGATCACTCTCTTAACTATTTGATCTTCCTTTGCCCACATTTCTAATTTCATAATTTGATCAAGATAGTGATATTTTCTGTTAATAAGGTCATTTCTTGCAAAGGGAATTCCCTCTTTCTCTTCCCTCTCATTTATTGTAGATGGCTGAGTGATAATCTAACTTGAGAGAAAGGTTGGGAAGCATTTTTATGTACTTACAGGACTTGAATTTTGTTGGGATACAGAGTAAAAATATTTCTAGGAAATATTTTATTTTACTTAAATAGCAACATTCTTCTGAAAATCATGAGCCAAGTGCTCATGATAGAGTCCTTATTTGTTGGGTTTTGCACTTTGTTTTTCTCCATCTCTATAAAGTTAAAGGTACCACTGAACTGATATCTAGTGAAGAATCTTTTGGAGACTGAGGATGCAATATAGCTCCACCATATTTCACCATGTTTCTTATTTTCATGTGGAAAGAAGCAAGACCAGAGGATTTGTGCCCTGTTTTGGTTGTGCTTGGTATCTAGAACAAATGGTTAAAGTATGAATTTGTAAGCCTCTAGGGGACAATAAAGTGATAAGAAACAGCCAACATGAATTTGTCAGGAACAAATCGTGTCAAACCAATCTAATTTTCTCCTTTGACAGGGTAATTGGTCTAAGGGATAATAGGGAATAAATAGATGTGATATATTTTGGCTTTAATAAGGGCTGATATAGTCCTATGTGACAGTCTTGGAAAGTGAGTAGGGGAATATGGTCCAAGTGAAATTGTTAATAGTTGGTTGCACAACAGATTGAAAAACTGTATTGAGACTAGTTGCTGAGGGTTTCTGGTCAAAAAAGAAGATTACTACTAGTCAGGATCTGTGGGAGTCTGTTCTGTGTTTGCTGCTACTCTAAATTTTCATTAGCAGTGTGCCTGACAGAGTAGAAAGAAACGTATACCAGGTTTGTGGATGTCACGTAGATGAAGTGTGGCAGGCACTTGATGGAAGGTGGGAAGCTCAGGGTTGCAGTCCAGAATTATCTTCACCAGTTGGAGAAAATA